AGGTTAAAAATGACACAATCGGGTACGGTCGTTTTCTCTGCTATATCGACGAAGCTTCCATGCGATTATTACTTTTTGCGTACTCCCTCTATTCTGCACTGTCGTTGTCAACTGTTTTGTTTATTTCTATATCATTATCATAATAAAACTCATCAACAAATATGACCGGAAGGAAATCACGTGATGTTACATACGCCATTGTATATTTTAGGCTACTATTGATGACTGGGATAGCATGTATGTTTGGATTCCTTTATGAATATTTTGAATCTGATGTTCTTGATTATTGTTCCATTGTACTAAAAGGAGGACAAGGAATTTTCCTATTTGTTGCATTTCATGCTGCACGACTTACTTTTAAATTAAAAAGAATATGCGTACATAAGCAAGACACCGATGAAAATCTAGAGAATCAGAACGACAAAAATTCAAATCAAAAATAAAATAACAAAAACTCAAAATAAGACTGTAGATACAAACTTTAATGCTTCAGATTAAGGCAAATATTCAAAAACGGTAAACCTTATCACTTTTAAAAACTGAATGTTGAGTACTGCTAAAGCCATTGCTATGAGAGTTGCACTTTTTCAATATCGCTCATGTACAGACTTAATCAAATCGACCCTGCAGTTTGCATGTAATTATGCTTTTATTGATGTTTCCGAGGGAAGAAATTAATAGTTCTTCTGTTCTTACCATGACATGATTTCATTAATTTCTTGGTCCTGCAAGTGTTTTGTTTATTTATTTAGCATTCAAATATAACTCACTTTTTCGTAATTTATACTGCACGTGTATTTGTCATCACAATAAATTGGTTTGCGTAATCTGAATTATTTCATCAAAAGTTTTGAAAGCCATCTGTATGGAATTATGAACATTTTTTTGTCATATTTTATATCTTAATATCTAAACACATATTTAAAGTACAGTTATTGCCACTGGCTGAGAATTGTTCACCTTGATCTATAGTTTGCCTAATGCTTAAGATGCAGTAGTAGAATATGATGTGAAACGGTTTTGCGTACTTGAAAGTTCTTTTTTTTTTCTTCTTCTTTTTTGTCTGGTTTCTAAGAACTCTTGGACGTCGGTGGATATATAAAGTATAAAGATTTTCATGCAATTTTGTTGTAATTTTGTTTTGATTAATGCTTCCGAGAGATCACACTAGATCCAGATTTTAATATTGTAATATCGTTACTGTAAATTTAAGTGGACTTAAAAATTGGAGTAAATACACACATACACAAACGCAAGCAAGCATGTACACACGGACGCACAAACGCACACACATGCACAAACAATTAAAACATTGTTCGGTCGTTACATTGTTACCTACAATCTTTTCAATTTGACTGTTACACAGGTTAAACCTGAATGTCACAGTACTGTTGAAAAGATTTTCTTTTGGGCATTTTTTAATAAATGTATATACACATGCATCTTTATTTTGAATCTACATATTTATTAGGCTAAGGGTATGATTATATTTAACCATTAATTCGTCATGTTGATGTATAAACATGTAGATTTAATTAGGATTTTCTGTGAACTCATTTTAATATTGAAGATGGATCATGACTCAAACGCGTAAATACGCTAATTTAATTCAAGGACAACAAATTATAAAGCAATCTAATTCACCTTTACATTTCGGAAACGACACTTTTTTATTTTGTATGCAGGCGATTATAATTTTAGGCAACAATATAACGCTTTTGAAGTTTTTTGTAGGTCATGTGAAATTGGAATGTGTAAAAAGCAATCAATCAGTAGGTGGATAAAAAATGTCTGGGGATTTAAATTTCACAAAAGTTATTTTCAAGACTAGGATCTAGGAGATTAGAATACTGTTTTGTGATATCTCAAAGGATGAGAATGAGGCCTGAGAGAGTAGAGAAAGTCTTTGATAACTACCAAAAACAATTTACCATATAGAACCATTTCCCCCAACCTCGAGATTAGTCGACAATAAACTTATAATATAGACAAAAATACTTTGTTACAAATATGAACTGCCTTTTACTAAAGCACAACTTTGAAATTGAAATCATTTTGTAGATTCAAGCACGGCTTTTCTTACAGATAAACAGAACGTTGGTGTAATTTAAACAACTGTTTCGAATGCGACAACTTCAATTTATTTACAATCTAAGGTGCACGTGTAATTGAGTAAGAGTTTAAAGTGTGAACATTTTTTTAAATGACTGATTGGAACGTAATTGCAGTTCATCATTTATGCATTTGTAACATCTATAAAAAGTCATTTATGATGTATGAATGACATCTCTACAACCAATATTGTTACAATTTTCAAGAACAGTGCACTGTGGCAATATTGGAGTACATTATTTTGAGGGTCATGAGTCTAGTTCCAAAGACATTGTCTATCACCTGGTTGGTTTGATTTATAAAATTATTCCCCATGAAACGCCAATATTTGAGCCGCGTCACAACAAAACCAACGTAATGCGTTTGCGACCAGCATAGATCCAGACCAGCCTGCGCATCCGCGCAATTATCAGGCTGTCCAGCGTCCCAAAAATTCCTAAAAAATCCTAATTTTTTCAGTTTGGCTAAAATTCCTAAAAAAATGAAAAATTCAAAGGGAATTCCTAAAAATGCCCTATTTTTTCACTTAATTTCCTATTTGTTTATCTTTTGTGACAAACATATCCAGAAACAACCATGTTTCAATCACAACCTAAATTCAAACACAGTCAGTGGAGTTGATATCATGTTTGACTAAATTGCATAAGTCACATGTTGCATTTATTTCAACTCCGGCAGAAATGCCATACTTGATTAATTGTCAGATGTTATCAGAAAAATAATAAGAAACTGTTTGTTTTAAATGGAACAATGAAAATTGTAACACTTTGACTATATTAAAATAGTCACCTGTTTAAAATTGTGATAAAAAATTTCCAAGGAAGTTACATTTTTATTGGCTAATCATAGCTTAACTAATTGAATATTGGTTGTTCCTGGATTCTTATAACTTTGAAAATGTTTTCATTCTAGTTATTTTTTAATGTAGTTTTTCAGCTCTTTTTAAAGGCAGTTGACCAGTGAATCAATTTATTCACTGGTGACTGTGGAACCGAATTAGAGCATTATTTGTGAGTAATATACTTTTGTGTCAAATATGCAAAATTGAGCCCATATGCAGGGCCTGCAAAATCAATTGTCCGTATTACCCAGGTTGTCCAACAGCCTGTACGGACAAGTGAAAATTTTCAAGAATAAACTATGTAAATATCATAGTTACGGACAAGTTAAATGATGCTTCACATAAAAGCGGACAAGTAAGTCAAAATCAGATTTTGCCGGCCCTGATATCATGGTCTTTTGAGGCCATAATTTAGTATAAAATTCCAAATTTGAGCCCTAAAATTTCTTTTATTTACCCTAAAATTCCTAAATTTTAGCCCTAAAATTTCTTAAAAATTGCCCTAAAATTTGCCCTAATTTTTTGTCAGAAGGTGCTGGACAGCCTGAATTATAAATAATTGCTTAATTGATTTCTTAAATGCATTACACTGAAATTCCATTTCGTAAAGTTGCTTTACGTTTTCCATTGAGTGTGATTTTTTTTTTGGCTGTTGTTTTTTTTGTTGTTGTTGTTATTAGTATAATTATTATTATTCTTTTTCATTAAGCAAAATCGTTTTCGAAATCTTAAGCAATTAAACACTCTTAATATAAAACAAAAATGACATGCATGTTGGGAATCGTAATTCTTTTATTTTTACGTGACGTTACGGTAGTAAGTATTTATTACAAATATGACATGATTTAATTCTTGAAGCATCTGTTGTAGTAACAGTCCATATATGTACATGCTGGACCCTGAAAAATAATTAAAAAAGTAATTGTTACAATTTGAACAATAAAGAATACATAATTATAAGAAATGTTTTTTATGTTTATGTTGGTTTATACTTTGAACAAATAGAATAAATAATTCAATATTATTGCCATATGTCAATTCTCGCGAACTTGGGTAGCTGACACAAAATCATTCGGTTCTCTTCACAGCTTGATCGGATCCCACCACTGGCATACAACAGTTTATGTTAAAGAGTTATCCATTCTAGCTGGAAAATAAGCGTTTAATATGGATTTTTAACAACGAAGCAAGAGTATTTTAGTTGTGATCTGTTAGTAAACCTAAACCAAAATAAAAATAAATAAGTAAAAAAAAACAACAAACAAAAAAAAAACAAACAAACATACGAAAACAAAACAAAATTAACATAAAAAAACAACATCAACCAAAAGACCGTTATCCGATGGAATAACTTATAAAGAACCGATCACCAACCAATTGTCATATACGTATTTCTTAATAAAAGTCGTGATATCAGCTAGAGAAATATTGAAATTGTGTCTCATCATATAACAAAAATATTAACATTTGAATGTAACAGTTATATATCAATATTGAATATACTCTTTTCAGACGAATCTGATTTAATAGTAACACGTACATATCTGCAACAAAGAATGATGTAAGTTTACATATGTACTGCATGGACTGTACGTCTGTTAAAAACAGAGAGGTTTGAGATAAAAACAGGAAATCAGTGTTCAAGCAAAAACAAAACCCCTCTTAAATGGTACATGTCCTGTCATGCTCTTGGTATTATTGTTGATGCAAATATCTATAAAATATTTTAAATTTATAAAATTACCCCATTCCAGCTGCATGTGCACCAATTACAACCATCAAAATATCGTTCACCTTCTCCCCGGAACCGACCGTAACAGTCGACGCATGCGCCTACAGTAAGTAAAATGGTTACATGGGAAAAATAACAATTGATATCCACGAGTGTTCTGGCGATTTCTGGACAAACGCAACATTTTTTAATGATGTTATATACTTGAGATTTGGTCAAGATAAACATTATTTATCAATAATGTATGTAAACATTTCTGATAATTATATGATAATTATAATTTGAAATGTGACGGCATGTATTGCTAGATGTTAAACTTAACTCTTTATTCAACCATTGCTTATGTCAGTTGTGTGGAAACATTCCGAAAAGTACTCATTGAAAATCCAGGGATTTACGTCATTGTCGATTTTCAAGGGTCCACATATTGTAATATTAAAGGGTCCAATCATTTATAGAAGGGGTACACTCAATCATTAATGGTTTCCGATAACTAATTTCAGCAATTAAACTTACTAAATATATCTTATAAATAACGAAAGTTTATAAACCGCAAGGTATTCTTAACATTTGTTTATAAAAACATCATTACATTTTGATGCATCCTTAAGATTCGTAAATACAGGTAATAACTTTAAATCTTATATTTCTAACTACATATCTAAATACAGTGTTGTCATCAACGTAAGGATTGTGTTGAAATTCTATTATAAAAGTCACAGAAAAGAGAAAAGAAAAATAAAACACTATATCTAACTTACCTGGTATTGGGCGCCATCTTATTACTGGAAATGGAAAAGCAGTGTAATATTATTCATCTATTATTCCATGTAAAAAAATGTATTGAATGTACAGTAAAATTTCATTTATATCACTTCATAATGTTCATTTACATTACGGAATTTGTTTGTACTTGCAAATACAAATATATCCACGTCATAAAGTAGTATTTCATATCAATGCTCAGTGTAAAATTGCTTATGATTTGGTACAACCCCTGCCAAATGCGAAAAAAAAATTAATACAAACAATTCAAATACTATAATCAAAAACCGATACAAAGATAAAATTAAGGCTGACTTACATGCTTCCGTAAAGGCTAACGATGCAAAGATCGTAAGAAATACAGCAAATAATTTCATTATGTTGGTTGCAAAGAGTTCAACGTGCACTTTTATGAATATTTCGAGTCTAATGTATTGTAGATATAACAATCACATCGTTCTACGTCTACATCCCATTTTATATATGTTGCGATAGACTTGCGTCATGCACAGTTTGATTTAATATATAGATGACAATGACATGTGTAATGGTACTAGGATGTCGATTAAAAAAACAGCGTAACAACGGTTGCTAAAAGATATGTAAGATATGTTTTTCGCAAAAGTGATTTATTATATTAGGCGGTGATAAATAATAATCTGGAATGTATATAAATATAGAAACAAGTAGCCTTGCACATCTCTTTGTATATGTTAGAAATTTGACATGACAGCAAACCCTTCAAACTGAACTTTGGTGACCACAGTCACATCAAAACTTAGAGAATCAGTAAGTTCACGTGGTTTCTTCTTGAACAGACAACTAAAACAACATCAACAAACAAAAAAACCCAAGGATACAACAGCCGCCCGCTAAAAAATAAAATAAAATAAAATAAAAACAAAACAATACAAACAAACAACCAAAACATAAGATATCGCCATTAACACGGAAAACAGCTTGGTCACGCCACAGAATTTAATATATTATGTAATCATGATATATGATAATATTGCAATTACATTGCTATATATTTAATACAACATTATCTACATTTATATGTAGAAAGACTGTGACGGCAGCAAAAGTGAACATTAAATAATATCTTTTATCAGCATGTAAAAATTTAGCTATCACCATCATATTTATTGACTTTGAAGGAATGCAATTATTGTACTGGTTTATATAAAAAAACATAAACATATAGCGTAATAAAACTTGCTCTCAATCTTGATTTTATTACAGGATGGAAACGTTTAACAACTATAATTATTATTTATTGGTTGTCTTACCTCTTGCTTGTGATGTTGAAATATAGGCCAATAGGATATGATCCAAACAGGTAAATGCCGATTTGAAGACATTACGTTTAGTATATTTTTCAAAATGTCATAACTCGTGTTTTACATGTCATAACTTCGATTAAAGCTATAACAATGGTACAAATATACATAATGCACGTTAGTTATAAACGACACTAAGACTTTCATAGAAATTTACACGTCATTAATTTAAAAGAAATGGTAGAGTATGAGAATATGCGTGGTTTGGAGAGGCGTGGGGTACCATTTTCCAGAAGTAGGTCTCAAGTGTCGCGTGACAGCTGTAAAAATGTTGTTTTGCATTTCAGTGTTTTTGTATTGTCCTGTCTTTTGAGATCATTTTGTTCCGACACATAAGTATTGAAGATTGAATAACGCTTAAGCCGGTGCTATGGGGCGTGCGCGATATTAAACGTTTACATTATATTTCGTTATTAGTTGTTATCAGTACAATCTGTTATCTTATCCTTCTGATGACATGTCGTCACTATTCTGCATGTGTACACCGAAAAAAATGCGATAATAACAGTTCTACTTAAAGTTCAAATGTTTCGTCCTTCTGAAAAATGTGTTATCAGTATACTTAATATTATAGATAAATTGCTTTTGCTCTTCCTTAAATAGGTTATCCTACCTGATCAACATAGTCACATTTACATAACGATATTATATGTGAAATCATGTTATCTTTTCTTCATGTAGATACAATATTTTGTGTACTTTATGTTTGTAATAAATTTTTGTACTTGTATTAAATTAAGATTGTCCCACAATTAACCATGATAGGTTAAAGGTCATATTTATTACTGTAAAGAACATATCTCTTATACGTTTTAGTATAAACCAGAAACTGAGTTCTTTTAAAATTTATGTCATCAGTATTATTAATGTATGAAAAATATAATTTGCTCTTCTTGAAAACATGCTAATTCATGTTACTCGCACTGCGTATACAATTATTTACCCTTTTCATGTTGGCTAAACATTGTACAATATGTTCAATGCAAAATTAATAATATGTTATGCTATGTTATCTTATTTTAAATAAGATCTACGCATCTATCTCTGTATTGGACCGTACACCTGATACAAAAGTCAAAACAAAATCGGACAAAATTACCAGAGGAAAGAAAAATCCCATTTCATAGCTCACATGACACTTATTTGACCTGAGTTTGATTTAAAATGTATCTTTATACAATTCAGACATTAAATACTTACAAGTCAGAAGAAAAAAGAGGATTTGATGTACTTCTTTAAAAAGATCGTCGTTGCAAAAATACGAAATATGATTTTGTACTCCAAAGTGGACTGGGTATATTGAGGTACTGTTTTGAGTTTAACGTATACAAAATAGCAGTTAGAATGATAAAACGCCTTCATCATCTTCATTTTTATTAAAATTATAATCATTATGAATTTCATAATCATCATCATCATCATCTTTTCATCATTTATTATCTGACATATACTTAAGAAACAATTTCTTCCGTGAACAACGGTGATGTTTCACAAGAAGAACGTAAATCTTGACTTTTTGTTGATATATATTACATGTTTGAAGAAAAATAATTATAAAATCAGACCCCGTATGTCTCAAATGTAATGCCACGCAAACTTATAAGAAGCTGTATGCCAATATCATCAGTTAGATTTTTACAAACTACTGGTAACCTTCAAAAAATGATCTGCATGTATCTATTTAAGTGATCAATCTTTTTTTCAAATATGCGAACTTTAGGACGCAAAGAGAGAGTGACAAGTAAATAAAGACTCCGTTCTGCGATCATCTGAGGGATATGACACATACAGAAATTTTGCCTCGAGTTTTTGAAAGTGTGGCTCAGTGTCCAACGTTGAAAGCTGATCAGAAATCCATCGAAAAGTGACTCAAACTCTAATGTTTCACCGGAATATATTTATTTATTGCAGGGAGACTTGAACATTTTTAAATCCTATTTGATAAAAAGTGTAACATTTTCAAACTAGTAGGTAAAGTTGTTCGTTCGCTTAATTTCTTTTTGTATTGATACAATATCAGATAAAGCAAGGGTAGGGTGACTGATAAAGCTAAATGTATCAGATATGCAGTTTATAATCAGGAAACAATGATATGATGAAATAATTATAAATGACCTGAAACAGCCAATCATACAGGTTTAGCTATTATCAACAACCAAACATGTCACATAAGGCAAAGTTTACAAAGTAGCCTCGTGATCAGTTGCGCTTAATATACTAAACTCGTTTTGAAAATTTTATAATATTACAGTATCAAGTAAGTTATTTTAGACTTGTTTATACATACAGGATGTGTTATTAATTGTGTACATCAAAATAATGGTTTGAAACGCATAGCTCGTTATCAAAGGCCTATTTTCTGCATTCTGCAAACAATAATTTTCAAGACTGTCTAAATGTGATGATTTGTGGATACTACTGAGGTAAGAAGCAATTTATTGTAAAACCAAATAAGTACAGTCCGTTCTTTTGTTAGTTTACTTTTATTAACTGGATATAGTTTTTATACTACGGAAATCTAACCATGACTTTACTTAAATTAAGATGAATGAAATGAGAGTGTCACATTAAGTGATAATTTCTGCGTGGAAAATATCTCAATCATTAAGGGTCAGGGAGAGAGTAACAATATTTTTTTGTGAACAGGAGCCTTCAAAATGGTTCCGAATTTCCTACATAAAGATAGTTTTTCAGGTCTATGTTAAGGTAACCCGACAAAAACATTACGAATGGCGTGCCCCGCTGGTGCCAATTGTGAAATCTTCTGTTCGTCCATATTTCAACATTCTGATCGGTTTGGGTTTGTACATGTAGGAATGTACATGTAAAAGTGGCCACATCTCAGCAATGGAATGTGAATCTGCCACTAGTATACAATTCCAGGACCACGCAGGCCACTTTCCTGAAATTCTTGCTATGGTTATTTGCACTGTATCTCTGCTCTGACAAGTAGAGAAGTTGTCAATCAGTTAATCATACAAATTAAGGCAATATGCACTGGTGTACTGCTAAACAGCATGTCACGAACGATGCGGTGGCTAAACATGTCTCTGGTAAATTCAATGTGCCCTACGGATAGCGTGAGAGCAGTTTAAAGCAAAATTCATGTGAATAGTTGACAATGGCCGGCCTGGTTTTATCAGTTGGGCCGAATAAAATATATATATATATGAGACTCAGCGTCGATCAAGGTTGAGTTTTAAACGGTTTTCCTTCCTCCAGGGAGTAGGGTTAGAACTAGGAAAACCAATTGGGAAGGCAACTTAAAGAAAACTGCACATTGTATGTTTGATTCTTTTGGTATATTTTACGTGTATGTATGTTAGTTAATTTAATTAAATTTCATAGGAAAGGTTTGAATTTCATAACCAGTGTTATAAGAGCATTACCATTTAATTTACGGACTCAAAATCAGTTATTCCATCAGCTATTCAATTATGGAATAATCTTCCGACAAACATTCGCGAATCACAGTCGCTAGCTTCATTTAAAAACAAGATTAAACAGTTATATAAACCTCGAGTAGTTCCATCTTTTTTCTGATACGGAGATCGTTTCTTAATTGTCCACCAAACCCGAATTAGAAACAATTGTAGCAACTTAAATAATGATCTTTTTATTAACCATTTAGTTTCAAGTCCATTATGCCAATGCGGCGCAGACATCGAAAATGCGGAGCACTATTTTCCGATGTAAATTATATATTATGCAAAGACGTATACTTTTTTTGAATACCATGTCATTTCATCCTCTCAGTAGTCAGAAATTATTACACGGTATTGATGGACTTGCAGAAGCCGAAAACATAAGACTATTTCAAGAAGTGCATAATTTCATCAAAAGTAGTAGAAGATTTACCTAATTTTGTTTACACATTTACTATATTTTTTTTCATATTAAGTTTATTAAAATACTGCTGCAAATCAAGGTTTGGTGCGTTTATTATAGTGGCAAATTTTTAATGGCATATTTTTGTTTTTTAGGTTAAGCGATTCTTTTTTACCAGTTAAAATACATGAAATTAATATCGCTTTTCTTATAAATAAATATCTCAGAATTTCTAAAAACCACATTTAGTTACTATGTTACCATTAAGCCATCAAGATAGACCTTCAGGGGAGGACCCTAGATAATGTTGGTATAACTTTTGCTCCAACCCTTTTGTATGTACATTATATTCATGCTTAAGATATTGATGTTAGATTGTGTAAATTAATCATGTACAAAATATGCAATAAAATATTATTAAACTAATTTACGGACGGAAATACACTATCAAGTAATACAAATGAAAACTAAGAAAGCCACTGTTGGCAGTAAAATTATATTCTTCAAGCCCGTCTTCAGATGCACTCTGTGTAACAATATGCCTTTAAAGTTACAATTTATATTGTTGTTATTGTTGTTATTGGTTTATTTAGATTCTACTGATTATACTCTAGAAGATATATTGATAAATTTCTTGACTATAGGAACGCCTCCTTACTAGTGATTGGCTTATTGATTTCTGCGTTGATATTATCGATATACAATTCTCCTTTCGGAGAGAAGCGATAGAGAGAAGGATTAGAAAAGATCATATAAATAAATGACCTGGGTTGTTGTCGTAGTTAGTGAAATAAACTTAGAAATGACTTTGTAGTTGTTGTTTAACTCCCACCCTGTTACAGTGGTGGTTTATTTTGGTGCCGTGCGAAGGATTTTTAAAAAATGGACAGGAATAAATTCTTTTTTTAGTGTCTTTCAAATTTGAATACACATGACAATGAAAACACATTGTGTTTGTGCATTAACAGTACGTCTGCAAAGTTGTGCGGAAGAGAAGCCAGTCACTATTTTAAAATTTTCGTATTTGTGGTGAGTTACTTTGAGTACTTTTTCTGAATTGCTATGGCTGAACGGGAAGAAACGGCAAATATGTTTAGGCAAATGGGACAGCAAATTTCTGGTTTATCCACTACCGTAGGAGCCCAATGGGTGGCTAGGGGTAGTTTGTGGAAGGTCAAACAAAAAACAGGGGAGTCTTTTCAAGTTTTCCTTGAAAGATTGATTGTTCTCTTCTAACCCCTCTTTTTATCGCTTTAATTAGAATGAGGTTATTGCTTTATTTAGAATGAAGTTATGGCTTTTATTAGATTTAGGTTATTGCTTTAATTAGAATTAGGTTATTGGTTTTGTTGTAAGGCTTCAAATGAGCTTGCCATGTAGTTCATATTAGAAAAATAGACGTTAAATGTAGATAAGTAATTACAAACAGTATAAACTCGTTATTTTCGAGTATGTATATAGAGAATTACGTCTTAATCAATTGCTACAGAAAAATGCTTCTTTGTAATTGGAGAAAAGGTGACCAAACAATAATGAGAGTACTAGTTCTCAGTGCATTGCTTGTGAGCCTGATACAGGGTGTTCAAAAACCCTAAAGGAAGTTAAAGAAATATCCCTTCAAGGTCTTATGTATGAGTTAAGTTCCATGCAAAGCCTTCAGGTCAAGAAAAATCAATGGTCAATTTGGCTCTATGTAGGCGCTGTCTCAATTTTTCTTTTTATTCTCTCCCTCATTGCATTATGTCTATATAAAAAATGTTATATGAGATGCCGGAAATTCCCATATTCAGCTCACAGCATGCAGGGAAGGAAAGAAGTTATCTCTCAACCTAGAGAAAGCATCGATATGCAGACGACATTGGTCTCTACCGAGGCGACAACACGTTCGTCCAGGAATCCAAATTTGCCTGTGTCGTCAAAAGATACTTTAGATACAATTGTGAAAATGATATACCCAAGTTTGTCTAAAGAAAATGTCACCGAAGCTACCAGCTTATAAACGTTGTCGAATGATTCACTATGTTGTGAGAAGTGTGTATATTGTGATGTACAGCTATTGTTCATTAGAAGACTATAAACACGAGTAGCGGATAAATGACACACAGAGTTGGGAATGATCACAATTTGCACAAACGTTGATCATTGAGGAATAGCCTCAGGAAGAAATATGATATATATTACAATTTGTTATGTCTTTTCGTTAGAGCTCTAAAACAAAACAAAAGAAAAAGAAAAAAAAGGAAAATGTTTAAGGAAATTTGGCTAGAAACTTGCGGAGTTTGTCTTGAAGATAAAGAGTATTATTTCGTAAATAAATGCAAATGCAAAATGCACTTCATTGGTTTGTGAATCGTGTTTTAAACATATTGATAGTTGTCCTTTCTGTCGTCAAAGTTATGATTTAGATGTTATAGCAAGTGAATCCATTCTCTTGGAACCAGATGTGTCTACGTTTGCTACACCTCTTTCTGGTGTGTTTCCTTCATTACTTTTAAGTCGTCGTGATGCTAGGAAGGCGAAAGAAAACTGGAACTTTTGGTTTAATCGTTTCGGAGGTCGTGATATTATGAGATCTCACTTATATTTGGGATTAATAGTTAACCATGACGCTATTCATAGAATATTAAGAACTGGTTATTTTAACGATCCAAATGAGGCTGGTATTTGCTTGGATAGACGTATGGCTTATACTTTTGTACGACAACAATTGGAAGTATTTATTCATAGCTGGAGGAAATGAAAACAATTTGTGTTTCATACCAATTTTAAGAATTTTGGAAACAAAAACCATATGTACGGAGAGTAATTTCTGGAATTTGTGTGTTGTAGATGAAGTTATTAACGAATTAATAGAACAAAGAAATTATAAGGATACACAGTTGAATAACTGTTTAGATATTTTAAGCTTGAGACAAGTTTTAAATAATTGTGGATATTTAAATAGTGAACAATTAATGATATATTTTCAAAACAGTCCAAGTCACATCTTGCACTATTTAAGAGCTTATTTCACTGGGTTTCGCTGGCATCATATAAATATCACAATTGAAGAAAGAAATATCATAGTAAATTGCGGAGGACATCAACTGTAATCATAGCATAACAAAGCAGTCCCCCTGAACAACTGCCAAAAGGAAAATTAATTTTCAACAAACTTTGTTCAATCAACAACCAACACCGTGACGAACAATAGAGTAGTTAATAGTTCCTCATCTCAGTGATTATCAAACAGATGTGATTGTTCACACCGAGATTTATTGTGGATTATTAAGAATATAATCTTTAAAAGAATATGCAGTTTCGTTGATTACATTGCTAATAAAATATTGGTACTTTATCATTCCAAGAGGACTTCCATTGTTAGGACGCCAATAACTGGATTACTTTCCCGGAACTTTAGAAATTTAGTGACAGATTTTTCTTAATATCATGTTTATATGATTAATCTTCGGAATCATTATCCTTAAGTTGGCTGGTTCAAAGAAACATATCTTGATTGATTCTTTACTTGTAGATTGACTCAGTTAAAAACAAAATATCATCATAACTCAAAGATCCGAAGAGAATCACTAAGTATTTGAAAAGGTTTCATGTG